TCCATTCCACAGCATTGGTGTTTGTATCCTAAATGAACTTTCCAGTTAGTTAGCGTTCATTTTTTATGTCATTCAACGACGTTGCAATCATTGAGGTAGTTAATTGAATTCCCATCCTTTATTAAGGGCAATGATTAAGGGCTAGATTTAGTATACCCACGTCGTGAATTAGCACCACTAGATTAGCAGGGAGGTCTGTATGTGCTCATCTAGTATCCTCAACCACACAATTATACACAGAACACACTAATTACTCGTGCACGCTCCGCAGACTCCCATGATGTCATTGAGTACACTGAGATATGCACTAGGTACTTCATCTATTGGCAGATAAACTTTTAGCTACTGGGTGAAGTGAAAAAAAAAATGTTTTTTCAGGTCATTGAGTCACTCAGAGCACCATAAAGATGAGCCAGTCTTTCATACATTGTAAGTGTGTTTTTGTGTGTGTGTGTGTGTGTTTTGTATTGCACCATGGAGTAATGAAAAAAACAAAACTTCCAGAGGTTAGGTCAGGGGTAGGCAAGTTCGGTCCTAGAGAGCCGCAGTCAGAATAAATTCCTGCATCTCGCTAGAAATGTAGCATTTCCGGCACATTCAGTGTCTGCTCACTTGTTTTCATTAATTCCTTCAAGTGGACTACATTAAGTGGAAATCATGAATAAGGGTATAGGGCAGGGGTGGCGAACTCCGGTCCTGGAGAGCCGCAGTCCTGCAGGGTTCAGCTCCAACCCTAATCAAACACACCTGAACAAGCTAATCAATGTCTTCAGGATTACTAAGGCTATAGGCAGGTGAGTTTTTTTTTCAGAGTTGGAGCTGAACTCTGCAGCACTGCGGCTCTCTAGGACCGAACTTGCCTACCCCTGGGTTAGGTGAACTCAACCAGAGGGCACTCCACCCCTGACTCTTGCCATGCTCACAGACTACATTCCCCATAATCCTTTGCCTGGACTCATCATTAGGGCTGCATGATAAATCGCATGCGATTGTCAAGCACATCTCGTGAGTAAAGCCGGTTCTGGGATTAGTAGTAAATCTCCATCACGTGCGTTCAGATGGAGCGGCATTTACTACGTAGAGCCATTGTTCACCAACAAGCTACGCAATACCGCGTTCATAATCGCAGGCAATTCACCTGTGATTATGAAAGCGATATTGAGTAGCTTGCACCCCAGCTAGAGATTGTGACAGAGCCCAGAGGCTTCCAGATGTTCCCAAATGAGAACAGAAATGAGTCTAGGAGGGAGATAGAGCGGTGGCGGAACAGGGGGAGGGATGGAGGGCTAGGTCCATGTGGAAGTGGGGGAACTGGGGACTGAGGCAAAGCCAGCGGAGCAGGGTGCCAGGGCAGAGCAAGAAGCCTGGGCGGAGCTGTCGAAGCAGGGCGCCGGGGCGGAGCTGAAGACCACCAGGGCGGAGTCTAGACTGCAGCCATGATGGAGGCCCACGGTGGAGTTGATGGAGGGAGGAGCCATGGTGGACGAAGGGCTGTCGCCACCAGGGACCCGACTGACGGAGACAGAGCCGGTGGAAGAGGAGCCCAGGGCAGAGACGGAGAGCAGCAGAGCCAAGGCGACACTGAGGATTGTGACACTGAGGAAAGTCCTCAACATAGTCCTCAACAGGTTGATCACCCTGACAGAGATGCATCAACTGTGCTGCTGGATTCATGATAAGCCTGGGACGCCCTCATATAGCTGCCAGGTGTGGCTCAGTATTCTGTAAGGTGGGAGCGTGACAACGGGGTTGAGGATCCAAGTGCAGGCTTTATTTACAAGAGTGGTAAAAACAGGCAGGGTCCATCAACAGCAAACAGGTATAATCCAGGAAGAGACAAAAGAGTAATCCAAAAGAAAAGCAATAGTCAGGGCAGGCAGCAAACAATCATAATCCAGGGTAAACAGTCCACGGTCAAAACACAAGGCAAAGCAAGGCAAGACAACAAGGAACTTGGAAACACGGGAAAACACAAAGACGTAACAGGCTATCAATAATCTGCAAAGTGTGTGTGGATGAGTGCAACCTTTATACTGTGACTGATGGAGGTAACAAGACACAGGTGAATGCAATAAGTGATGATGAGTCCAGGCAAAAGATTATGGGGAATGTAGTCTGTGAGCGTGGCAAGAGTCAGGGGTTCATGGGCACTCCAGCTAGAGATCATGACAATTGCTTTCTACAACCTGTGCCACTGCTGACACTGGTTATTACTGTACAATGAGATAAAATGAATATGACACGAGTGTGTTATTCTCAGTATTTTATTTCGACATTTTTCTTGAAATTTAACGAGTTTAATCTCACATTATAATGACTTTAATCTTGAGATGGTTTTACTTTTTTTTTTTTATTATTATTGCTTGGTCCTAATCCTCTTCCGTACTTACACTCAGTTCACACTTAAGTATGTTATTTTAAAGTATATTATTTCCATAGTAAATACTCTTTTTAAAAGTATGTCAAAGTCTACTTTTTCACAAGGGCTGAGTGGTAGTTTTGGACGCTTTCTACTGGTATGATGTATTAAGTGCACATATGCATCTAAAGCTGCTAAAAAGCATTCGTTCTGCAGTCCGTGATAATGCCCCAAAAGGAGGGTGTTTGTAGGATGCAATTATCTTCCAACTGTTTTGTTGGTTTTAAAAGGGTTCCTTTGAAAAGACACAAGTCCCTTCAGCTGCCTCAGACAAAAGCCGATTCTTTTTTACTTTACCACCATCACCTCTCCCACACTCAGTTTTATTAACATGTGAGTTAGAATTGATCGTTTTGCTTCTCTTTTCCTCACCATATCACTCTCAAATCCATACTTTGGGTCTGTTTTTTTTTTTTTCCTTTTTTCTTTCTTTTTTTTTTCTTTTTTTTTGATGAATATTTTACCATAAATTTAGTCAAATCCACACATGGATGTCGCTTCTAATGAGGCCACATTACCATTTCAGACAGAGCAGGCACTGGTTTTATCTTCTGTTCATGGAGACACGCTGCCTCAAAGAGAATGGCAGAAGCGAGCAGTAGAGGCTCTGTCATTCTCAATAAAGCGTGATGGTACAGTGTTTATCAGGGAGGATGGTTCCCTTTGCCAATTGTTAGCCTTGTGAGCAGAACCCAGAACTTGCACTTTCGTCGATGCACACTTCAGTCAGCTACTATGGGCTTTTGTGCCACTGTTAGCTGTGTTAGCATGCAGGTGGCAGCGTTTGGGACTACAGTGTGCTGGAAACAGCAGATTTGAGTTGACCCAGGTTACTGAACACAGGTTGAACCAGCTGACTATGAATGACCCAAAACTGATTTTTCATCTCAATTTAAGGCCATTGTGGTTCAAAGCCATTTTTAACTGTTTTCAGGGTCATCAAATTGTCCGTCAAATCAAGAGAGGGTCTGGATCTGCCCTTGGCCATGAAAAGCCTTTTATCTACATGACATAGTGTTTTGTCTCTCAAAGCTCTCTCTCTCTCTTAGCACATGTGCCGCAAAACTGACATTAAAAAATTGCCATAAAATATGCATAAATTAAACAAACATAGTGATTGTATTCCTACTATTCGTTTAAAGTGGTAATTTATCAGAAATGTATATTCTGTCATTATTTACTCACCCTCATGTTGTTTCAAACCAGTATGACTTTCTTTCCTGTGTGGAATTTAAAAGGAAATATTTTGAAAATTGTACTATTGAGACTTTCAAGCTTCAAAAGGGAAGCAAAAGTTTTGCAGTATATTGCAGGTGTACACTTAGTACAATTAGGCACACTTCTTTTTCACAAGGGATGCAATTGAGAGCTAGGCCTAATTTCAAGATTTTCAACAAATAATGAATAATGTTTCCTAATCAAGCTATTGTATAGAATGAGAAGACTTTTTTATACTTATTATGTTACTTTTTTATAAATATTATGTTGTTTTTTAATCTTTTTTTAAGACTGAATGCCTTTGCACTAATTCCTTGTAAATGAGAAAATGTCCAGTACATTCTTCAAAACTTTTTGTATTCCTTTTGTACATCCTAATCCCTTGCAGAGAATATTTCTTATTTATCTCACTACATGTTAGCTACGGAGTTATGGAGAAAAAAAAAAAACTAGATCATCTTCAAAATTTTCCACTTAGGCAAACGTCATTAGGAGATGTGCGAGTTGCGACAGATGCTGACACAATGTTTTGTTTCTCATAGCCCTCTCTCAGAGGACTAGTGCCGCGAAATACCATTGCCATAACTGATGTCACCCATATGTGTAATTTAAAAGATTTGCAATATTTCACGCTTCCACAGATGGTAGACAGATGGAGGCGTAGATCAATGACGAGGTCTGTGACTAGTCTCAGATCAGAGAGTCTTGAAAAATGGGACACCTGCACGGGACTCATTGTTTTCCCCCACAGATGAAGATTATTTACACTTTATCACCTTTTAATTATCAGCAGAGTCTCATGAAAAGCCTCTTTGTCTGTAAATGATCCACAGAGAGCAAGGGTGGCAATGACACTGGAAGGTTTGGCTATAAATCACTCTCTGAGTAAAGTGAGCAAAATGTCTCTTTGGTGGGATTTTAGATTGGAAAAGAGGAAATTAAAGGGAAATTCTTAGTGAGGCTTTAAGTAAGCTGGAGAGTCTAGATTAATTTAGGGTCAGATTTAATTTTTCATCATGAGTCAAAACCTTTCTGAATGATAAACTAAAACACCCACTTGCCAGACCTATGGTGAAAGGGCGAATATTTTAAACTCTATCTGAATAGTTCAGACTGAAATGAAAGTCATAATTTACTTACCTTTGTGTCAAACCTATGACATTGATTTTATTCCAAAGAATGCTCTTAAAAATGACCAAAAAGCACCCTATCTAAAATAGTTTAGGACCTTTGTGCTGTATTCCAAGTGTTTTGAAGTCATATGATAGATTTGTGTGAGGAACAGATCAAAATGTAAGTTGTCACACACACAGAAAGCTCTCAAATATCATCCACATTGCTTTAACTCGGAGCTCGAGCCGAGCCTCAGGTTTGAGCCTCCTTTGAGGACAGCAAGCCAAGTTCGTTTACTATTATCTATAGCAGGGCTGAATGGGCAGGCGAACTTGTGAAATTATGTTTATAAACATGGTATTTGTTAATTTTTCCTTGAAAGATAAACTTTTATAAATTATGATAATTGTAAAATATGTTTTACCTTGAAAAAAATATATTGAAACACTTTTATGATTCGTATTCAAGGTGTAAGGAAAATAAGCTATTACTTTTTACTTGATGGTGACACCACATGATATGAGTCATTAAATTACTTTGGTACTTTTCCTGGCTACTATATGAAGAGTTTATTTGCAAAAACAGATAACTCCGTTTTTAACAATTCTCAGAAATCATGTTTTTTCATTGTGCATTCCAATTAATCTCAATCAAACTTTAGTTGGGTTATTTTGATTAGGTTAAAAAAAACTAATAATTACAGCTAACTAACACAATAAAACACAATAAAAACATGATTACATAATTTAAAAAAACATGAGTTATCTGTTTTGGCAAATAAACTCTTCATATGCTTTTCTTAAATGATAAATAGCATCAGAAACAGAAAAAAATAAATGATTAATTTTTAAATTTCTATAAACTTTCATTTAGACGTATATCTAAAGAGGTTCATTCAGTAGTTCTGTGCTGCATTATCATTGCTGTTCTTTGCGTACTGCAACAATGCCACGATAGTGTTAGACATTGCACTGCCATCTGTCAACATGGTTCAGCACACGTTTTAAGTAAATTACACTGCTAGTGTGTTTATTTATTTATTTTTACTATGCGATAATTGATTCCCTAACAACAAAAAAGAAGCAACTTGGGCATCATTGCATCAATACTCAGGATTTCCAGTCATCGAAACTTGCCACCATATGCCTACCGTCCCGATGTTTGCACTTGTTTTTTTGTCTTCTCCAGACATTTTCTCAGGTACTGATTCTTCCATTGTCTCTGCTGATAAAGCAGAATAATAAGTGTTTCATTGTCTAATTTTCAGTCATTGCATCACCAAAGAACACACGTCATTTCAGCATGGCAAAATACACTGAGTGGTACGACCATTTTTAACTAAAATACTATTTATAGAAACTATGTAGTCTTAACCTCATGTAAGTGTACACCAGCATGACTCTTCACAAAAATGTGCAAAACTTTTAAAAGTAGCACCAAACCTGCACCATTAAAGAAAAAAATATTAAGGGAAACGTATGTAAAAGTCTGTGCGAGAGAGACAATATCCAAATGTATTCATATATTTATTATATACACTAAAACCTTGCATTTTTTGGAAAAATTACAATCCTTGGCAAAACAGTCATGCTGACAAAGCTTCCATTGACACTCCATAATCCCACACACATAGACCAGCTCAAAAACAAATAGCTTTTGTCACTCATTCTGCACTCATTAATTTCCTCATGACACAACACTTTTCCCATAATCCTACTGCTTTGCTAAATGTACTGTAACAAGGGAAAGATGCGAGTCCTAATGCCATTACTTGTGTTTACGCAGTTACGCTCGCTCTCATTCCCAGTAGCTCTTTCTAGGGCACAGGAGCCCCTTAAAGTAGTTGTATTTCCTCTACAGAAGTGAGCCAAAGCACTGCCACTAAGCTTCTTATCCCGCTGCCCTGGCCTCACCCCTCGGCTCTCATGATTAGGAGCCAGAGAGGAAGTGAAAGAGAGAGGGAGGAAGTTTATAAACTGTTGGAGAGAGGTCCATCTGTTAGAGCTGGAGACAGCAGCCGTCATATGATACCCCGTCGTGGGAGAATTGCCCTCCTCTCTGTGGAGATGAGGGAAAAATAGAAAATTCAAGGTATTGTTACCTTACAATAAAGTATGCATATCCTAAACCAAGAATATATTAGTTACATTTTTCACAATAATATATTTTTCATAAAAAATTACAGGTTACCGCTAATAATAGGTGTGTCTCTGTTGGAAAACCTAGTGAACTGCATCACAACATTCTAATCTACATGAAACCTCATCGTAAGTGACTGATTTGGAGCACTCTACATGGGCAGCAACTTTACATGGCAAAATAAGGCTTTGCAGGAGACTCAACGTTTTGGTAAGCTAAGCATACATAATACACTGAAGGAATATAAAATATTACATATGAAATAATCCATTTTAATTATACTGTTTTTTTATGCTTTTCAGTATTGACTGAAATATAACAATGCATTTTGGCATTGTCTTCTCTGCAAATGAAACATCCAATGCTTGTTTGGCAGAGTGCAACAAACATATCAATCTATATCTATACATATTGACTTTTGACTAATACGTTTTGACTTTCTGTGGACTAAAAAGAGCATAGTTAAAATATAGGATTTACAAATGTTGCTATTATTCCATTGACCCTCTAAGTAATTAGATCAATGTAAATGTTTAACAAAAAGAGACTACATATTAATGTTTTTGAAGTCAGCTGCTAAATTTTAATTTTAACATGCATTGAAATATTTTCTAAAAGCTATTATTATAGTGTATGTCTGTACTAAATGATGCTCCCTCCACGGATCTGCAAACGTGCCAGGGAAGAGATGTGATGTGGGATGCAGGCTGTACAGCTGCATGATCAAAGAGTCAATTTGCTCAATGCTGAAAAAAAACCTTTGTGCACATTGTTATTACTATGTGGAATTAGGATGTTCTGATTTGATCGAAGATGGTACTGAAGTGTGAGAACCACTGCTCATCGTTCTATTTCTATGCTTCTACAATGAAGTAAAGCAGGAATGAAGTTCAGCACTCGTTGTGCGAAGCCCCAAAGCACTTCAAAGATATAAAGATGAATGGAGAATTAGTGTAGGATTGTAATATATTGTACCTATGGATCAAAATACACTAAATTGATACCCACAATATTAAATGGTCTAGATATTGATATAATATTGTTTCACCATGCTGATCCCTGCAGATTTCCACTATATTGCCCACACACACAAGATACTTTGAGGGTTTTGTATTCCAATGCTTCACATATTGCTGCTTTGCCACACACACAGTATATTGTGGCGCAAAGTCACTATGCAATTATTTCTCCCCTCCCACAGAAGCACTTTTTTTTTTTTTTGCCAAAGGGGGAATTGAGCGTCTGGTAAATCAGAAAGCTAATCAGTGACCTGGTTAATTCTACTGCCGGCGCTTAAATCCTCAACTTTGTGACCTTCATGTTGTTAAGTATGTGAGTAATGGATTGTATGTATTGATATTGCCCTATATATAGGTCCACTGTTTACATAAACCTAAATAAATAAAACATGACCAGACCCTCATCCATTTTCTGGCTGGTATTTCCTTTATCTGAGATTTGGAAGTTTTAACATTTGATACTATAGTTCCAAAATCTAGTGAGCTGCCTACCTATTTAACATTTTAAGGCAACATAGACACTCCAGACATGCAGGCTATTCCAAAAGCTAAGCAGTAAAATTACATATATTCTATATTTGCAGAATCGCATGTTTCCTTTGTGAACAAGGCACAGAATGCACTACAAGAAGCACAAGGAGATTTTTTTTAGAGAATTAGGAGAATTTAGCTTAGCAGCTATATTGGATTTTTTTTTTTTTTGTATTAATTATTATTAGTAGTAGTAGTATTATCATCATCATTATTATTTTACAAATATTCAGGGAGACCAAATTTTAAAAAGTTTAAGAATTGATAATTGAAAAACTATTTTGATCCACCAGTTAAGTTATTAAAGGGACAGTTCACTCAAAAAAAAAAAATCTAATTTTGTCATAATTTATTCATCCTCATGCCATTCCAAACATATATGTCTTTGTTTCTTCTTCAGAACCCAAAATACGATGTTTAGAAGAATGCTGGAAATGAAACTTTTTGGACCCCATTGTTTTCCATTGTACTTCCATTGTTTGGACAAAAAAAACATTCTCAAAATATGTTATGCTCCACAGAAGAAAGTCAAGGAATGACATGATGGTGAATAAACACTCACAGAAAATATTAATGTATGACATACAACTTTCAATAGAAATTACATTAGATTTTATAGTTTAGCATTAATTCTTGTCGGTACATTTGACAGTACATATTTCAAAGACAACATAAGTAAATATGAAATTACATTTAAAGATGTAATTAAGTCCCACTTGGTGGTCAAAAATCACTCTCAAATTTAACTTATAAATTTAAACTGTGATACATTTTCATTTACTTGTAATTAACATGCACTTAAGAGTTTGAAAACATTACAATCAGTTCTCCTTTTAGAAAGTATGCTGAAGTGTACTTATTTTTCACGATGGAAAGTAGATTTTTAAATGAAATACAAATGAAAATTCCATTAAATCTCCTGAGCTGCAAAAGAGCAATGAACTTTTCTTCTTGGCAGAACTACCTGGCCACATTCTTTCAGGTTCTTCCTTTAGTTCACGGTTGTTCTCCAACTTCAGCATTGTGATCACTGTTGCTCTTCATCTTTGATCACAATATTTGGTTGGATGGACTGTTCTTACTTGGATCTAGATCCCAAAGTCCCACGGGACGTTAGCCTTGTGGTTTTCAACCACTTTCTGTTGAGTATCCCATTTGGACTTGAGAGTTCTCGGCAAATACCCAGCACAGATGTCCTGCTGACTTCAGTGAGGTAGTCAGTGTATGCTGTTTCTGCATCTTGCATCCTGCTCTTAGGAGCTGTATTGTCCCTAGAAATTCACTGTACACTCTCCATCTTGGGTTGTTTTGTGTTGTAGACCGTTCTATTGATCGGGTACAAAGTTCTCTTGCTACTATGATTAGCGCCTCTGCTTTTCCTCAGGCCTGACACTTACATCAGCTCATGGGATTTTGCTATATGGCATCTCTGGTTCCACGTTTTCCTCATCAGTTTCTCCAGTTGTCCTACCATGTCAAAGTTGGAGAGCAGATTAAATAACATTTGTTAAACGTATTTGAGTGATCTGAGATATCATCGCTCTGTGGTTCTATAACTGTGTTGTTGGCATCAATCCCATATGACAGAATTACATATAAAGTGTTATTATGACAGTGAGTGGTTCCAGGGACATTTTGAATGATCTTACACTCTAAAAAATGCTGGGTTAAATTCAACCCAGTGCTGGGTAAAATAGGGACAAACCCAGCAATTGGGTTGTTTTGACCCAGCGGTTGGGTTACTACCCAGAAGGTTGGGTTAAACATTTAACCCAACCGCTGGGTCAAAACAGCCCAATTGCTGGGTTTGTCCCTATTTAACCCAGCACTGGGTTGTATTTAACCCAGCATTTTTTAGAGTGTAGCAGAGTTGAAGGTGTCAGTAAATAAATAATAAAATAATCTTTTTTTCATCTTCTTTGTGAATGTTGAAGTCAGAGCTCTATCCACGGTGTTCACTATATCTGAAAGAAAATCAGATTTTTTGAAAATGTCTGTATAAGGCCCAGGCGGTCTATAAACATAGACCTGCATTGATGATTTTTTTTTTTTTCATAAACCTTAGATATTCTACTAACTAATAGTCACTTTGCAACTACTTGTCAACTAACTCTCATTAATTTTCAACTACACGTCAACTAACTCTCATTAGAGTATATAGTATTTGTAAACTGATAAGTTAGGGTTAGTAGAATAAGTTGACGGACCATCAAAATAAAATGTTAGCAGATATTAAGCTGTGCACTAATAGTCTAATCACATGTGGTAGTTGACACTGAGTTGCAAAGTTACTTATACTTAGTAGAATGTCTAAAGTGGACTATCAAAATAAAATGTTTCCCACATTTGCACTTTTGCTGATATTCTGTACTATGTCATATGATATAAATATACTGTACAACACAAGAACTCATAAGAGACATTTTCTTCTCTTGGAATTTTTGCCCAAAGCCCCTGTTAATTTCCGACCTTGGTCAGCTACCATATGTTTCACAATGGGCTATTTAAATTTTGCAATAATAACTTCATGCATTTGTAAGTTTATATCTACTGATCAAATGGATGTTGGATCTCAGTAAAGGAATTATTCTATATTCTATAAGAAGATATTTTGAACTGTTTTGGGCCACACAAAACAAGTCAATGGTGTCCAAAATAATAACATCAACCACAAAAATCAAAACCATTTTCAGAAATATTTTCAAACTATTGGGCTTTTTTCACTTTTTGGTGAACTAACCCTTTAAGGTTCTTTTGAAACTGCTCTCTAAACTTTAGGAAAGCAAAGCACTTCAGGAGGTGTTTTTGTGTTGTTTCTCTCTTTTTTCTTACCTAGTTGGAATTTGTTCACAGTTCTAAGTGTCAGTGTCAGTTGTTTTCTCTACATGGCATGTTTGTAGCCAGCAAAGTTGTTTTTAGTTCAGATTTGTCACTAAGATCTAAGTCACTAAGATTTGTGCCAATTATTGTCAGTGATAATTTAATTCCTGGCAACAGCACACAGCTGGCTATATTAGCTTTGATGGAGCATCAGCATATGCCCTGGGGGAACCCACTGCTTTCTGAGCTTTATTGATCATCTGCCGTCCAATCTGCCACTGCTTTTTTTTACTCGAGTGAGAATGAGAGATTAGTCAAATATTTCAGCAGTGCACTTTGACAGCTCACCCATTTGTTATCTTATCAGAGACACCACCTGTGTTCCCCTATTACCAAGATCACTGAAGCCTAGATGTTGAAAAAAGAAATGAATTTTCCTAAAAATAGAACAACCGTATTAGCGTCCTCTAGCGACACAATTTCTCTCCTTATAAATACAGAGTTCTGACATGAAACTCTAGATGGCAAAGACCAAATACATTAACATTGTCATGTACATTACAATGCCAATCCCCCCAAAGTTGTCATGACAGAAATACAGTTTATCCAGATTATACAGCATGGCCTTAAATTACACATTTCCAAGTGTGCGACACATTACATTTCACCAGACAAGCTTTCCACCAGATGGCTGGCTATTCAGAAAATAAACAATTTTGAAAGCCCGGCATGCGTTTTAATGCTAGCTTTCCAAGTCTCAAAGGGAGCTCTAAGTATTTCCAACCAGGACAGGAGCCATTGCTAAAGCATCAGCATAAATGAGGAAACACAACACATTAGCGCAGTTAGCTTTCTCCTTCGCAGCGCTACAACATCTGATTATTTTCTGTTTGTGTGTCTCAGAGCGTCTGGCTCTCTTTTCCAACAGCAAATTCACTTCAAATCAGATTTGGCTGGTTGGTATGTATGGTGGCGTGGCACTTTGATGTGTCCGAATATAGCATCACCTCCTGTCTCTCCTTATCTAAAGTGCCATTACATGCTGGCAATGAGTGTTCAACATTTATAGAAAGCTTCCCTTGAGTAAACCACACTCATCTATTTTTCAGCATGGTTCTGCTTTTATAATTAGCACAAATTAGCATCAACATTTTCCACTTACAGCACATACACACTGTAAGCAAGGGAATCAGAGTCACATGATGTTACATATGGCTAGCATGGATGATCTGTCACAATTAGATGTAAAACCTATTTAACACCCATATCAATTGTCCCTAGAGAGGACGGCAATTATGTTGGTCTAATGCCTGGCCTTACGCTTGGCTTTCCACTTCTTTGGGTTTATTCAATATGCCACACGCTCGAATACAGCAAGGAATTACATACAGGGCTGAGGCTCCAGCTGGCTGCTTTGTCTTTAGTGTGATACCCACTTAGACCTGACATGGTGAGACCACTGAGCTGTGTTAATCTCTCCCTGCTCAGACAGGCTAAATTCACAGTACAAATGCATGGTTCCTAGGGCTATACTACATCAAGTATGCCATTTGTGGATTTTCATTCATAAACGTACCAGAAATAGACAATAAGGGCCTGTTCCATTAGCCATTGAAAAGACTTCAAGTTCAAGTCTGCTTTATTGTCAATTCTTCCACATGCACAGCACATACATACAGAGAATTGAAATTGCGTTACTCTCAGACCCTTAGTGCATACAGATAACACGAACAGTAGAACATAAAATACAGATAGATACAGATTAAATATAAAATACAAATATACAAATATACAAATAAGGTCATGTAAAAAAATAAAAATAAAGCAGCACAAGGCACATGGCAGATAGAGTGCAAACCAGTGAAGTAAACAAACAGTGCAGATATAATGATTGTAGTGCAAAAGGGCTTATTTTGATTAAAGTGACAACAAGCTCAGAGAGCAGTTCTTTATTTAAACTGTCAGAAGAGGTAGTTGAATGAGGTCAGTTCAATGCTGAATGAGGTAGTGAGCAGACCAATGCTACACAAGGTGACTAGTGCAGGTCACAGTTTGTTAGTGGGAGGGGGAGGGCAGACTTGATGTGGTGCATGACTAGCCGTTCAAAGCACTTTATGAGAATAGGAGTAAGTGCAACTGGACGGTAGTCATTGAAGCAGGATGGAGACGGCTTCTTCGGGACTGGAATGATGGTGGTAGCTTTGAAGCATGTGGGGACAACACCCTGACTTAGTGAGATGTTGAAAATGTCTGTGAAGACATCAGTGACTTGTGGATTAATAAAGTTTTTTTTGCTCTGTATTTGTAAAACTTTGAAAAAAAAAAAAAAGAGGAAACCTTCACAAAAGTAACGCTTTACAATCTCATTTTTTTAGGTAATGTATATGGGTGATTTTTAAACACATTTATTAAGTTAGTTAATAAATAAAACAAGTTCATTGTTTGTTCAAATGAATTCACAGTGCATTAACTTATGCTAACAGTTTTAAATTTTAAATTTTGATTTTAAAATGTATTAGTAAATACTAGAATGAGCTTTATTCAGAATGAGCTTTATTCGCCAATTAATTTTTTTTAGGAGCTCTTGGTGCAAACATACATACATACATACATACATACATATATGACATTGAGAACAGAAAGAACATTTAAATAAGACTAGGAAAAGAAAAGAATAAGAATAATAATAATAATAACAATAATAATAATGTGGTATATACCTGTAACAGAAGATTTATGTACAGATTTGTGCATTATTTACTGTATATACAGCTGTATAAATAAAAATATGTATATGTATTTGCATAATACTTGAGAGAGAGGCAATACTTAGTTATTAAGAAATTAATTACAGAAGACAGGTGGTAATATCTGTGTAAGCTGTTTAAGCTGGAGATGGCATGGGGGGAAAACTGTTTTTATGCCTAGATGTTCTAGTGCAGAGAGATCTGTAAAGTCTGCCTGCAGGGGAGAAGTGCAAACAGGTTATGGCCGGGGTGAGAGGGGTCTGTGATGATGTTACCTGCCCATTTCTTCATTCTTACAGCTGTCCTAACAGTCCATTGCAGACTTCTTATATCGGATTTGCTGGCTGACCCAAGCCAGACAGTTATAGAAGTGCACATAACTAACTTAATAACAACTGAGTAAAACTGTATTATCTGCACCTGTGGAAGGTTGAACTTTTTCAGTTGATGAAGGAAGTACAATCTGTGCTGGGGATTTTCACAGTGGAGTCAATGTGATAGTCCCACTTCAGGTCCTGTGAGATGGTGGTGCCCAGGAACCTGAATGACTCTACTGCAGCCACAGTGCTGTTCATGATGGTGAGTGAGGGGGGTGTGCAGGGAGGTTTCTCCGAAAGACTACAATCATCTCCACAGTTTTGAGCGTGTTCAGCTCCAGGTTGTTGTGACTGACAGCCAGCAGTTAATTTAAATATTGAAATTAACTAAGATAATAATAATAATAATAATTATTATTATTATTATTATTATTATTATAAATTGTTTTAAACTAATTTTGTTAACTAGTACTAACAAATGAATAAAAAAATAATCTTGTTTTCCAGTAAAAATATATTTAAATGAAATAATAATGAATAAGAAATTGATAGTTCCTTTATCCATTTTCAAAGACTTTTTACTATTTTTCAAAGAATTATCTTGGGCTCATCAAGGCTGCATTTATATGATCAAAAATACTGTAAATACTAATATTATGAAATATTATTACAATGATTACAGAAGTTTGTGAGCCCCTCAATCCACACATGGTTGAAACCCAGTGACTTTTTCTAGTCATCCTTGGAAGTGAGCTCGCTCTGGGAGACGCATGTTGTCAACATCATGTTGCTCTGCACTCATTCGGTACTGATCTTCAGCAGAGTGAAATGTTGATCAAAAGATGAAGTCAAAGCATCCCAATTTGTTGGCTCGGCACGTAACCGTCCTGAATCACAAGCTTTGCTATTGATCAATGCTGCCGTGCTAAAGAGTTGCTGGCGTCTCAGAACGTCCTGCGCCTGAGTCAGCATGTCGATGCATTTGATCTGTGGATGCACCTCAGGTCTTTACTCTCCATTCATTTAATAGAGATGGAAAACCTGGTCTGCTCTCAAAGGTGAAAATTGAAGATTCAGCACAAAAAGACTCAATAGAGATTTTCAAGCCCTTAGTCGAGCTTTATTGATTAAAAAGTGAAAGATGAAGGTAGAAACTGTGGAAGGGAAATTGGATATTTATTATACTCACCACCAACAAAGTCACATATCTCAAAGTTTTAAATGTTTATGTATTTGGACACGTTTCTAGTTATTTAGAGGTTGCAGAATATCAGCTGTACAAATGTAGACAATGTAAACATCTAAATATAAATAACTTTGATACAATGGTGTTATCTGCAATGCCGTATGATGAACTTATAAACTTTGATGCAGTGTTACCTGAACTGTGTTAATGCAAACAAATATTTGGTCGAGATACAACTATCTGAATATCTGGAATCTGAGGGTGCAAAAAAATCTAAATATTGAGAAAATCGCCTTTAAAGTTATCCAAATGAAGTTCTTAGCAATGCATATTACTAATCAGAAATTAAGTTTTGATATATTTACGGTAGGAAATTTACAAAATATCTTCATGGAACATGATCTTTACTTAATATCCTAATGATTTTTGGCATATAAGAAAAATTTATAATTTTGACCCATACAATGTATTTTTGGCTATTGCTACAAATATACCGCAGCAACTTAAGACTGGTTTTGTGCTCCAGGGTCACATATGACTTTGATATCTGCACTGCAGTAATGCAAACAAGTAAATACAAATGACTTTGATACCTGCACTTTGGTAATGCAAACATATAAATATACCATAACTTTGATAAAGTGTAATACATTTCCTGTAAAACATTGTTGTGTATATACAAAAAACTCTATGTTTGCTATGGACAAAAAAGCAGACATATGGGTCAAGGCTGTAACCAACAAGTGTCAGATGTGACGGCGATGGGGCATCTTGATGGTAAGTAATGTTGCAGGTTATTTCTGCTGGTATGACAACACACTCCCACCATAAAACTTTTCCAAAGGCGGAATCCACCAATGAATCCTCACTGACCATCCTGATTGTGGTGACCAAAGGAGATGTAGTGCTGACAAAGTCCATATAAATATACCATAACTTTGATAAAGTGTAATACATTTCCTGTAAAACATTGTTGTGTATATACAAAAAACTCTATGTTTGCTATGGACAAAAAAGCAGACATATGGGTCAAGGCTGTAACCAACAAGTGTCAGATGTGACGGCGATGGGGCATCTTGATGGTAAGTAATGTTGCAGGTTATTTCTGCTGGTATGACAACACACTCCCACCATAAAACTTTTCCAAAGGCGGAATCCACCAATGAATCCTCACTGACCATCCTGATTGTGGTGACCAAAGGGGATGTAGTGCTGACAAAGTCATAAAACAGCTCAGCTACTTAGAGGACTGAGAGGTCAGGCAGCTCGCTGGTGAAACCTCTGTATAGGGTACTTCTGAAATAAAAACAAAAAAATATTAAAGTAAATTCCCTCATTTTTAATCTGTCTAACTTTCGTCTGATCTTTATATTATATTCATAATTATAGTCATGCAATGTATTTGTTTGGCTAGAAAAAAACTAATGCTCATAATGCTCTCAAATATGCCCCATAAAATCAATTTCAGACAGATACTGCTCTATAATTTTAAAATTAAAAAGGTTTATTTTTGACACTGGCAGTGGGACAGTCCATTATATATATATATATATATATAGGCCTGATCTCATACAGTAAGTATGTTTATTAAATTATGAGTTAAGCAAAAAAAATGTGTTTGTGAGTTTATGTAAAGTACATAAATAATAAATAGTACATAAATAGTTATATACACTTAGGAGTTAGTTTATGTTGTAGTTTCTTGTTTCATATAATTTAATTATGGTAATTAAGTTCATATGAGTGTGTTTAATAAGCTTTCATTTCACGCACATATATTTACATATTTCCTGTCAGATTTGACAATCGCCTTGATTATACTGTTTGATGTTTAATTTCAGATAGATTGTTATTTACTGTGTTAGATGTTTGCCTTAGATCGTAAGTATTTGTGCAAATTGATGAAGATTATAGTTAAATGGCTCATCCAGATGTCAGTGTGGCAATTCATGCAGCTATATTATTTTACACTTATCACTAGTAATGTCCTACATTGACAATGTTATGTTGACATTATTGGATTTAAGTCTGTATTATTTACCTATTGCAATTGTTATTTATCTTTTGTACAGACCACACATATTGCATACTTCTCCAGTAAAGACAACAAATGAGGAACTGTGTTTGACTGAGTTCTTGGGTTCTGATCGACCAGGGTAAGTGTTGCCACCAGGGCAAGTGTCCCCTATCCAACAGTCCTTAAAGAGATAAAGATCAAAGTTTTCAATTCCCAAACCTACAACTGGTCCTTCTAACCGGATTAGCACTTCCCTGGATTAAGATGTCAGCCAGTTCTGAACCAGTAAAACCCATTGGTTCGTCCATCGGAAATCAGCGCCATCAGTCAGTAAGAGAGAGCAAGCAATGTAGTCCTCTGATGATAATTACTCTACACGTGATGGAGCATCTGCTGCAAAATCTAAAAGAACACACAGTTTACCTGTTTTCTCTCCCACTTCAAGGCAGGCTGGTAAAGATGAGTTTCGTGATCCCATCAATCCTCCACCACAGTGCACTTCCCATCAGTCATCACCACAAAGTGTACACCGGAAATCTAACCCAAACCCAGAGTTCTATTCCCTTGGTGAGAGTGATGGATACCAGAGCGATCAATCAGATTCTAGCTCTATAAAGTTGCAAAGGATCTCAGAGGAGAATTCAAAGCTCTGTGAAACCCAGCAGGCCATTAAACCTGACATTAAACGAATAGAGACTGCCAAAGACTAACTGATGCAGCTTCTAGAGAGAGCATGTGTTCTTCAAAGGCCTTTATACTCCTTATTCCCAGTATAATCATCCATCAGTTACCTTCCATCATGCAGAGCATGTGAACGATGAAGACTGGCCAGAGCCTCCTCCACCAATTGCTCATGATGAGCCAGAGATCATGAAGGTGTGAGAAATTGCAGATCGGCATAATGACAGGCAACGGCTTCTCTGCAATATAAGAGCCCCACGTGCACCTACCCCC